ATTGTTTGATGTTGGTCGCTTCCGGGTAATCCAGAATGGCCGCCACTTTGGTTCTAAGAGGTCGAATGCCTTGAGCATCGATAGTGTGTCCTAGGAAGTTTAATGAGTCAGTTCGGAATTGGCATTTCTGAACGTTTACAGTAATGCCATGTTTTTGTAGTCGATCGAAAACAAGATCCAGATGCTTGAGATGTGATTCTCTGTCGGACTTGCGATTAGGCAGTCATCAACATACGCATGTACGAAGTTGAGACCTCGAAAAACGTCGTCTATCAAACTTCGGAATGTTTGCGCAGCGTTTCTTAGACCGACAGGCATTCGCGAAAATTCATAGAGTCCGAAAGGAGTTATGATAGCTGTTTTCGGTATGTCGTCAGTAGCCATAGGGATTTGGTTATACGCTTTAACCAAGTCGATTTTCGAAAAGACAGTTGTACCTTTCAAGGTAGCTGTCAAATCGTGAATGTGAGGCAACAGGTAAAGATCGGTAATGGTTTTTGCATTCAATCGCCGATAGTCATCAGTTGGACGCCAATCGTTGCTCTCCTTTTTAGGGACCATGTGCAACGGAGATGCATATGGGTTATTCGACGGCCGTATGATTCCTAAGTCTATCATGTGATTGAACTCGTTTTTCGCTAACCTTAGCTTTTCAGGAGCTAGTCGTCGTGCTTTAGAGAATACAGGTGGTCCTGTAATTGTGATGTGATGTGTAAAGTTGCTGGTTACACACGGTAGTTTCGGTTGAGTTTGTTGTATCCCAGGGTACTTATCGAGTAGTGGTTGATAGAGTGGGTCTATCATATGCCTAACTGTGACTGGGGATAATCTATAACCAGAAACAGAAGTTACGCAAACGGATAATTTAGCGTTTCCGTCTACTAGCCTCCGTTTGCGCGTGTCGATGATTAGATTATGGTGTTGTAGAAGATCCATACCAATGATTGGCATAGAAACATCTGCAACAACGAAAATCCAATGAATGGGTTTGCGTAAACCCACGTTAAGGTAAACGTACATTTTGCCATACGTAGCGATCGGTTTCCCGTTTGCCACCTGTAAGTTTAGAGTTGATTCGTGGAGCCGGTCGTTATGATTTACTGGGAGAACGCTAACTTCTGCGCCAGTGTCGACGAGGTAGCGAACTCTCGTTGTCACATCTGTGACATACAACAGACGGCTATGTTCGCCGGCTACGGTTGCCGTTAACGCGTGCCGGCTTGGAAGTTTCCCAAGTTGTTTTTCGGGTCAGTCGTTTTCGTGTTGGGAAATTGTAGGGTTTTCTGCAATTTCTGGAAGACTTTCCATACTGGTTATGATACAAGCACCAGTCGGGGTTATCCGTCTCTCGTGGTCTAGAGACAGATCGTTTACGTGAAATGCTTCCATGTGGGCTATGTGAGCGATTACGGTCGTTACGAATAATAAGATAACGCGTGAGTGTATGACATAACTCGGTTATGTCATTCTGAGTCGTGTGAGGCTTTTCTTTGACTGAAAATACCTCTGAAGTAGACGATTTCGTTATTTCTAAAATACGATCGGCAGATGCAGCTAGCTCGTCTAAGGCGTTGTTCTGAAACGAGACCAGAACCGCTTGCACCTGTTGAGGAAGTTTAGACAAGAAAAGTTGTTTAAATAGGCTCTCGTCGAAAGTCCTTAGGCCTATCACCTCTCTCATTCTTTGCAACATGTCCGTCGCAGAACCGTGTTGCAGGTCGATATTATTGAAGAGTTGATCTAACCTTTGTCGATCGGTTAGGTCTCCTCTTTTAAGAATCGAACGTTTTAGGATTTCGTAAGGTTCGGAAACATCACTAGTAAACATACTAGGTGTAACGTACCTGTTGAATTCGCGCGGTAGTGCCTTGACTACTGCGAGAAATTGTGCACGTGTGTCGATCACGCAGTGCTCGGAGAAATCAGCTTCTGCGTAGCAGAACCAGGCTTCGATATTGTCGGTCCAGAAAGGCATGAGTTGAAACGAAGGCGGGGACAAAGACTTAAGCTTGAGTACTTTGGGTGTCTGTTCAGTCATGATGAAATATGAAAAAGAATATATATCCATGAAAAAACACGAAAAAAATCACAATGTTTAAAAAAATAAGATTTACGGTTGTAATTAGATGTACCAGATCACGTCGGTCTCACCAATGAGGATGATACAGGTATTCAGTGTTTGACAACGCTTCTACCAGTAACATCTAATATACATTGTTCCCACCGAGAGAAATCAAAAGACAGAGTCGAGGAGATCGGAAGAGTGTATTTGGCAATAACCAATATATCGGAATTCTCTGATCTAATCTGGCTAGAGATTGCGGTAGATGTTAAGCACAGCGTTAACACACGTGATCTGGTGCGGATGCATGACCGAGCGCCTTCAGCTAGATGAGTCCACTAAAACATATGGTCAGCATCCAATGTCGAAAACTTACAGAGCTATTTAGTTTAGGGATTTATTTACCGCTACAAGTTCAGTTGAATGAAACTCGTCACAAAACACAGAATGTCATATTCGTTGGAGAGCATAGGCTAAAAATGTTAGTGCAGCTTCTACCTTTTTTAAATATTGTATAAAAGATGAAGTAACTAAAATTTACTCTTGTTGATATGATGGTTATTTATTTTTAAAGTAGTTAGCTGAGATGGTATGACTATAGCTTACTGATCAGGAAAAATTGTCGATCAATGATGATTATGAAGCTTACCAACAAAGTATCATTTTCGTTTCGAATATGTTACTAAAATTTTACATTCTTCTTGACATGGACAATTGTTCAGGATCAAGTTAACGAAGAAAATAATATTCTTCTTCAAAGGAAAAGTAACAGTATTATGTTTTTACTGATGGTATAATTTTTGGGGATTCAATGAAGGTCAGAAATTGTTAGGTCCCGAGAAACATATTGAATGGTAACTTTGGGATCCTTTTATGGACCAATACTAAACGTATATTTTTATCGTATAATTGTTAAATAACTAAGCTATTCATATTATAAACTTTATTTCGACCTATGAACCATTATTATACGTTTTACCATTCTTGAATTATGCCCTGTCTATTAGTCACTACCTCCCACATTCACAGCCACATTTGGCCAAATTTTGTACAAATGTTATTTTCTATTTTATGCTACGTTGTGGTCGGTTTGATTGGTATATAATCTCAGTATGTTTGAAATATAAGGATTCATATTGCAGAGGCTGAGACTAGTGTTCTGGACTTAACTGGCTGGGCTAGGCGGAAAGCAGGACCAATCAGGACTCTAGGCTGCTCGCACGTGTATTACGCGTCCCTGGTCCGATCGATAATTCGCTGCTTCTGGTCGGCAGCTATGGACTATAACAAAAATGTATTCGATCTATCATGAAAACTGGATCAAACTCTAAGATTTCATTTCCCAATGGTTTCTTCGTAAAGAGATTTATCCGCATAATCTAACTCCAGTCGACCAGATGATGAACTTCTAGTTTTCACCCTTTAGACAAGGGTTGAATTTAGTTCCTTTCTTTTCCGTAGAGATTTTGAAAAGTACTCACAGAGGACTGTATAGACGAGTAATTGTGGTTTTAGAAATTGACTTATACACCTACTTTTCCCGCAAGCCAATTGAAAATGTCTTAAATGTTATCAAACTGACTCGGAAAACGTACCAATGTTAGATACAAGCATGACATTTCAAAAAAGGTCCTTAAAAACTCTTCAGAAGATCGATCAATGAAGCAAACATTTTAAGCGTCTTAAATGAATTATTTGTTGGAACGAGAGAAAAGCAGCTTACAGAAAAACTCGATTTGTATACAGTAGCTTCTAACCTCGAAAATAGCCACACATATTGTCCGTATGTAAAGACTAACAGGCATTTTTTAGAACACGTCCCAGTTTCATTCGGTAGAACAGAAGGAATAAACGTAAAACCATTCATTTTGTAACATGTAGCTGATCGTGACTTACCTTCAGATACATAGTTTGATGTCATCTTTAAACTTACATTTAATGCATTGAAAGGTGTCCATTTGCATCTCCATTGAATGGCATAAGCATTAACAATGCCCTATCTCAAGTCATAGTGTTATGAACGAGGACACAGGCGTAAGTAAAACCTCGGTGCCTATAATTTAAATAAAGAATGGACTATAAATATCTCTAAACTTTGATAACCGAGTTGGCTAATAAAGGCTACTGTGGATATTCAGAGTAATAACTTTAATCAATTCAAAGCCGTGTTTCCTAATTTTAACCAATATTAGAATTCACGTTTAGCTTCCGTGTGCTGATGTCAGTCTGGATCGAATGTGCACAAGATGCCACCTACCATATGACAATATCATCCGCACATTATGAGACAATCAAATGTACTTACCTACTTGCGCCAGTTACCCCTCATGGAGGAGCATAGGCCACTGCTGCTCAACAGCATTACTCATACAACTCTGTCCTGAGCGATCCTTTCCAGTTGTTATTCATCCTTTTCATATCTGCTTCCGATTCTCAGTGCACTATGCTCTTTGTTCTTCTACCTTTCCGTTACCATGCACGATTCCAAGTTAGCACTTGCCTCAAGATACAGCTTGGTGATTTCTGTAATGTATGTTCCTCTTTAACTGGAAGCTTGTTTGTTCTCTCCCACAATAAACTGTTGCTCATGGGATCCAGACAACGAACATTCAGTATCTTGACTAGATAATTATTTATAATTACTTGTACCTTTTGATGCTGGTTGTAGTAATTCTGCGAGTTTCAGGTCCGTACAGTAGGACTGTCTTGATGTTCGTATTGAAGATTCTGACTTTGATACTGGCCGAGTTCTTTTGAGTTCCATATATTCTTCATCTGTAAGAATACTGCAATTGCTTTGCCAATCCTTGTCGTAAAAGTGTCTTATTTAGAAATGTGAACATTAAATCCTGCTATTTGGAAACCGAATTTTGTTGTTTTGCGTGATATATTCCATTCTCTTGATCTACTTTCTGATTGGCTAGTAATTGATTGGTTGATCTCAAGGTCTTCCTTGAACTATCCAAGTTTGTTAGTTTGAATTAGTTTACTGGATAGCTACGTGGGAAACTAGATTCACTGAAAACTTGGTTTGTTACGTTATTGCTAGTGTCTTTAGCTTGTATCTTCATAGTCGACGATGCTATAATATATGGACGAACTTCATGCGAGTTTATGTGACTTTGTGGATGTCCACCTACTTTTTAAAAAGTAGGCGGATAAAGCGGCTAAAAAAAGGGGAAATCCGCATTATTTCCCCCGGACAGGCGACATTCTGGCTCGTTTTACCCTTTGTTTCCTCTTTCACTACCAAAGCATTTCCCCCTTTATTTCCGCTTTTTTGGTTGTCTGGGTTAGGGTTATATATATAACAAACTGCATATGAAGTCTGTAAATTAGTGTGAGGAGTTAGGAATAAGTTTTACATCTGGACGGTAAGGTTAAGAAATTAGGCTAGGGTTTTCACTACGAATTCACATAAGATAGAATACCGAAATTCTATCTAACCGTTTTGTTGAGTTCATTTTGCGCTATAATCTATCAATTATAATCTCACTGTTAAATTATACATAAATTCCGGTCGCTTGAGTTTTATTTCACTGTCGTTTCGCTATTTGTCTTCTCTTCCAGGTTGTTTCCACTTCAAAAATGTTAGCGGGTTTGTTTAGTAATTTGATACATAAGCCTGAAGTTCTGTGTCGAAAATCAATTTTTCACTTTATGTATGTTCGAAAATGTCCATACAGCACTGAACAAGATGATATCCCGTTTCATCTCATGGTTGAAGGTTATTACGACAAGGCTTCAGCCCTTGTTGAACAAAATTTGATGTCAAAACTTCAATCAAAAGCGCCAGATAATGAAAAAACAAAGATTGTTAAAGGAACGCTTAACATAATTCGGCCACCTACTCACATTTTTGAGGTTAACTTTCCACATAAAGCCGATGACGGAACGTTCAAGATCATTCAGGGCTTTAGAGCTCAACATAGTGTGCACAGGCGACCCACTAAGGGTGGCATTCGGTATAGTATGGATGTATGCAGAGAAGAAGTTATGGCTCTTGCTGCTCTGATGACCTACAAATGTGCCGTTGTAGATGTTCCGTTTGGTGGTGCCAAGGGGGGAATTAAGATAAATCCCAAAGATCACTCTCCGGCAGAATTAGAAAGGATAACCCGTCGGTTTGCACTAGAGTTGGCAAAACAAGGATTTCTTGGTTAGTTCGTATAAATTCATGTAGGTCTTCAGGTCCTGGAACTGATGTTCCTGCTCCGGATATGGGTACTGGACCCCGGGAGATGAGTTGGATTGCGGATACGTATGCAAACACCGTAGGTACGTTCAAATTAATCGTTAATTAGTGTTTTGCGCATTATTGGTAATTTCATATTAGTTTGTTTAGACACATCTTTTCTGTTCTTTCCAGGCTTCAAACATATTACTTCTAACGGTTTTGAAACTTCATTGCTTTTTTGTAGGTCACAACGATATGCACAGTCATGCTTGTGTAACAGGAAAGTCTATCGCTATGGGTGGTATTCACGGTCGCATTTCTGCAACAGGACGCGTAAGTCATCGTCTGATAATCCACCTGTTAACCGTACTAAGTTTACACAAATATTAACTTTGCAATAGAAAAACTCGTAAACATCTTTGTTTTAGCAGTAATTTGCAAGCTCTTTTCTGTTTTGTATTGCAATATCAGTGACCATACATTGAGGTTGATTACGAACTTCCATGTTCAACGTTTTATTGTTAGCTGCTGCATTTTTGTTGTTGATAACTTTAACTTTTCAGGGCGTTTATCATGGGATAGAAAACTTCTTAAATAACCCAAAATATGCAGATGCTATTGGTTTATCCCCGGGGCTGAAGGATAAAACTTTCATTGTTCAGGGATTCGGGAATGTTGGTTTGCATACAATGCGTTATCTTGTACGAGCTGGTGCAAAATGTATTGGTATTGCTGAAATCGACGGACAGATTTACAACGCAGATGGTATAGACCCACGAGAGCTCGAAGATTGGCAAATTGTAAGTTTTATTGTCTTATTTTTTGATATCCTGTTGTAACAAACGTTTTGTCTACTAATTCTTGAAGTTTACCTTTAGAAAGTTTTCTCTGAAGCAATCTTATTTGACCAGTGGTTTCGTAACTTTGAACATGAGTTTCTCATCTAAGGGTCTGCAGTTCATTGTTACTTGTGGCGTCCATTGATCGAATATTTAAATTTTTAATTCTAGGGTTTATTCATGTTCATTATCATGATGCTTCATCTATGCAGTTTCCTTTACTGGGAACATAGTGTGTGACATACAAATAGTAAAACTGTTTGTGACCTACTCGAATATGCCAAACGAGCATGTGGCTCATCACTCGTTATAGCTATGTAACGCCTCCAAATGCTCTGATATGGCTGAGGGTGTGGATAGTTTACTCTTCCTGTTGAAATGCTCTCATATGGTTATGCATATACAACCAGTACCAGGGAAGTTCTACTCACTGACTTATCGCTATGGGACTGTTTTTAAGAAAACCACCTACTTCGGTATGGGCACCCAAGTAGTATTCCAACCCACACGAACTAAGTAACGACTGCAACTAGATAAACTATTTATGCTTTTACTCCCATCCTGGCAAATTATACTCGAAACTATTTGTAATTAGTCATTTTTACATTGCACCACTTGCCTGTCTCTTCAATCACACTTAGTGTATTCCTTTATCCTTCAACTCATGTAGCAGCTCACCTATGGTAGAAATCCTATATTATTTGAACGATCTCAAGTCACTGACTGGTCAAAGGTTGAGAGCTAGCACCGGACACGAGTTCTGAACACACCTATGCCACTCAAACTAGCCTTCTTTCTACAAGCACACACTAATCCAGATCGGACAACAGATAGGGTTGTCTATGTCTTTAGAAGGTCTCAACATTGACGTCTGTTGCCTATCCAACATCTGTATTCAACACCTTAGTGAAAAACTAAACTGGCTCTCCATCTGTTGTTTCAAAAGCTTATTTCGTGTATGGTTATCCAGGGACTATGTGACGTCTTCATCCGGTTTTTGTAGCGTTGGCTTGCTTTACGATGATACCCAATTTATGCAATCCGCACATAATCAGTGTCCATATGTATGGCGTGTACTTTCCATCTTCTAAGTGCATAGTACTTGTACAGGACTTGGAGAATTCTTAACTTGAGTTCACTCTTGGTAGTGAACAGATAGAAGTAGTGGAGAAGTTCATGTATCTGGGTAGCTGCATAAATGCTGCTAGTGGCATGAATGATGAAATCAGTTCACATATAGGGAAGACCAGAGCAGTTTATGCCAATTTGGGCCATTTATGGTGTTAGTGTGACTGTAAAGGGTTGGATCTGTAATGCGTCGATAAGAGTAATTATATGGTATGGTTGTGAAACCTGATCTCGAAGTTGAGGATGTTAAACGACTCTCTGTGTTTGATCGTCGTTGTCTTTGGAAGTTTGCTGACATCCAGTGACACGCCATGTTAGTAGCACAGAGGTTCATCAACGTGTATTTGGGCACAGCGATGATAACTCATTTGATTTGACCATTTCGAATCACTGACTTCGGTGAATTGTACATGTGCTACGAATTTTGTCTCAGCAAATTCCACATCGTGTATTATTTGCTGACGCAAGGACTGATTGGAAAATGCGAAGGTGTTGTTGGTTTTTGACGTAGTACTGGAGTATGAAAGAAAGCTGTACAGGACCGGCGTCCGTTGTTTCTTCACGATTCCGTTCAAAGTCCTTGAGGCGATACGACACGGTGTTCAGAGTAGAATCCAGTAGCGATCATTCTGTAGCTCTTACTTTCTTCATCTAAGTAAGAGGAACTCCCTAATTGAATCCTCTATGTGGTTGTATTTTGCTCAACTGAACTGCTTCTATTATTATTATTATTATTATTATTATTATTATTATTATTATTACTATTTCATACTCATGCATTAATTTCTATTCACTGTTGTTCTTTTTTATTATACTCATCGTTTCTCTATCTCTTCACAATCTGATATTTATTGTGTGCCACACGTATAATTTTGGTCCCTCTATGTATTAGTGTTTATGTGTTTAAATAAATAAATAAAATAGATGTAATATACTATTACCTAGGTGCCAATTCGAAAATAGGTGATTGTGTAGATAGATTATGACATAGTTCATATTTCAAATTTCCACTTCATGAGATAACCTTGGCTATGTATGAAGTTTCGACACGTGACTAATCCGCTCATGTCGGTAAGAACTTACTGAACTCTAGCGATATAGTCAACTCATTCGTTGACCAGACACTTGGGTAAGAGCAATATTTAAGATGTTTTGAATAGTGATAATGCCCGGTTGCTCAAACCGAAGCAGGTAGGTGGGTTTCCAAATGTGGGACTTAGTGGTGGAAAGTTGAACGTCCTTACTAATAAACCACTACTCAACAGAACGAAATACAATTGTAATCAGAGTTTACATCTATGGGAATTCCATTCATAGTTTGCGTTACTTCATATAACTTGTCGTAATATTCCACAAAAAACTTTTCCCATCAGTTAAATAGTTTATGTATGAGTAATAAATACCTTTAGTAGCTATTATTTTGGGGATCCTATTTGTAATACTACTGGAATTCTCGTAACGTCGATATATGCGTTCGTTGTACTCTTAACATATTCCATAGAGTCATAAGTAGTTCACAAACATAAACACCAAAGAGTCATCTGCATACGACTCACGTTTTTTCTCCTCAAAATTAAGTCTAAAGCGCCGGTTCTTTTGGATTGATAGGTAGGATATTTTCATGGGTTTGTAAATTGCATTTTTATTATTTAATAATCAGTATACATCTGTCTAATTTGTTTATCACATTGATTCAGCATTAGTTACTGTCTTGCCTGCTGTCTATACTGAAGGTCTGTCGGTATCGTCTAAGCGTCTGTCATTTTATTTTATTTGCTTTTGTTATGAATCAGTTTTCTGATTGATACATATTTTACGTGTTACTTAAAACTTTCTAGACATCTTTCTATCTCGGTACCAGTGGCGGAGGTTGCTCCAGTGTAAATAGGAGAACTTGTGGATCGTGAAAGCGGCAAACTGGCTTCTTCACTACGAAGAACGATATACAATTCCATCTCCGGTTCATACTTTGACCAAGCCCAGCATTAAAAATCTAGCTGCCTTTAAGGCATTATATATATATATATATATATATATATATATATATATATATATATATATATATATATATATATATATGGTTTCCTCTTGTACCAACATTTATATGTTCAAATAAATAATAATAAGGCATGATACCCCGTCTAAAAAATTATGTAAGTGACTTGCTCTTCCGAAGAAGTCTGGCTTCTGTTAGTTACAGTATTAGCTTTCACTATTTTTAGGCGTGCTATATTTGTTTTGTCAAAACTTCTGTTTTTATACTTCACGATAGGCAAATGGTACGATTGTTGGCTTTCCACATGCAAAACCATATACAAAAGGTTCTCTTCTTTTCGAAGAATGTGATATTCTTATTCCTGCGGCAAATGAAAAGCAAATCCATAGTGGCAACGCCGATAAGATCAGAGCAAAATTAATTGGGGAGGGTGCAAATGGTCCCACTACACCAAAAGCTGATAAAGTTAGTTCTTTTGCGAGCTTATTTGTTGTTTCATAAACAAACTTCTGTCTAGATACAGAATTAATCATTTGGCAACTAATTCACTAAATATGGTGCTCATATTTCATGGCATTTTTTAAAATTAAGTTCATAAATTACGTTTTCGTCATCCCACAAATCACAGTTTTGTTAGCTAGTCCACTGTATTCACTAGGTCTTTTACACACTTCGTTTGCTAGATTTGAATTTCTTGGTTGGCGGTATGCCAAATCAAAACCTGCTTCGGTCTGAGCACCCGGGTAGTATCACAGCACACACACACACAAATATGGTGTGGCGCATATATATTTGGTGCCCTCTTGTACCAATATTTATGTGTTGAAATAAAATAAAATAAATGCTAAATCATAGATTTAAGTTCAGTTCGACTGTAGATATTTCGTATTTAATTCCATTCCAGATACTGCGGGAGAAGAATAAACTGGTTATTCCAGATTTGTATCTGAATGCTGGTGGTGTTACTGTCTCGTATTTTGAATGGCTTAAAAATTTAAATCACGTGAGTTATGGTCGGTTAACCTTTAAGTACGAACGAGATTCCAACTATCAGTTACTCAGTAAGTTATTTCATCTTCATAAATAATCGAAAACACAAGTACTATTTTTAAAGTATATTTTACGTTAATTAACTATTAAAAGGAGTAATATGGTCTTTTTACGTCATAATCTACCTTGAATTAATACTTCTCGTACCTAATGCTCATTGGGTTGCCGTCCAGTATGTATTTTACTTCAATCATGAAGGTGTTTCTGATAATCGACTTTTTCGTGAGTTAATAACACGAAAATAAAACCGACAAGTTGCTTTACTGTTGCCAGTTTTTATTTAGCAGCGCAACTTACTATTAACCATAGCACGTGAAATTACAAATTCACTGTACAAATGGTAGACAGTATGTTTAAATTATTGATGGAATCCACTAGTCAGTAATAATATGTTCTCATACTCATTTATTTTAGGTCATACCAGCTCTTAATATCATACTCAAGGCTCATTTACTACGGACTTACTCGTGAATTATGTTTAGATATAACATTTTTGGCAAAGTCTATAAAATCGCCCGACCAGTTTTTATTTGTGGTATAGAGAATGTTATTTCTAGTAAGCCATGATATCATCATGTCGATTGAAGAGTATGTATACGCTTTCTCTGTATAGGGGAATTTAGGTAAATGTCTTGCAGACCTCGGAAATGCCTCCTGACCGTTGTTGCCACCTTGACGTGGTGGTCGGGCTTACCTATCGTGATGAAGCAACCGAGCTATACTGACTGGAACAACTGTTCCTCTTCTTGGTACTGACCTATAATCTTATCAATCAATCAGTTAGAAATAACTGCTGGGAGTTGTGGGTCGATAATCTACTTCCAGGGCTTGACGTTGTGAGAAACAGCTTAACCGTCCATTATTCAGCAGCAATCAATGGCAGACGAGCAAAATACCCTGTTAACTCAGGTCAGATTAAGCAGGCTGACAAACAGGAAGCAGAATACGATGACGAGTTTTGATTACTCAAACCAACTAAGGTTTTATCTGATTTATGAATGAAATGTAATCTTACATACTGATTTTAATAATTGGTTTTTCACGTTTCTAAGGTAAAACTAAGAACCCCACTTAGTAACAACAGTTTAACTCTTTCATTTCTGTCTCTGATGTCCATTTAGTGCCTGCCAGTTCATCGAGAACTATCTAGAAAACAGTAGTCATACATGAAAGCACCAGTTTAAGTTACTGAGTTTTACAGTAACACAGAAAATCAGGAAAGATAAGAGAAATATTGAATCAAAAAATAGGAGGGGGTAGACTGACGTGGAAAAAAATAGGTTCCGAATTGTGAAAAGCTTGAGATTTGAATATTTGGGATAGCTAATTAGAGTTAAAATTGAATCTTGTTTTTGAAACCTGGAAGTGTGTATATGCTAGTTTCATATTTGAGGTTGGAATTCTAGGTGCCTCAAGCTGTAGCTGGTAGCTGTTGTCATATTTTGAATGTTAATCGAATTTTCCGCTCACCACTTTCCATTCCAATGTGGCCAGTAAAGAGAAATTAACATTTAACTCATTTACTTCACATTTTTATCCAGAGATAAATTTATTTACCTTGTTTTTTTAAATTACAGATAGTGTACAACAGTCTCTAGAGAAGAAGTTCGCTGACAAAATACCGATAACACCATCCGAAGATTTTCAGCTTCGCATTGCGGTAATTTGTTATTTTTGGTCTCTTGTTTTTGTCATGTTATCAAAAGTAAAATTATTTGGAAAGTATGCTATCTTGTTATTAGACCATCTATTGTATGCAAATTCTTCCTGGAAATTGTATTCATATGAATCATAGCCTGTTAAAGTATTTGTATTAGATCTAGCTTACATAAATAATCTATCTGTAGTTGCGCCACACTTGAATTACATTAAATTTGATTTGTTGAGCACTGTTGTTTAGTGTTCGGCGTGCTACAATGGCCCATACTTATTCAGTGATGGATTCTTGTCTCTTTAATATGTGTACACCTTGAGTAATTTATTAATAAAGTTTATTGTGCATGTTTGAGGCTGTTTAACTGCAGTTTCATAACATTTATCCATTGCAATTGACAATTCCTTGTTATACATTTTTTGAATGATCTACAGACTACGGTTTAATAATGTACTTATATAAACCTTGTAACGATGAGGCTTCTTACCTGTAAGGTGACATGTCTTAATTTATATTGTATTTGTGTAACCTAATGTTGGATACTTAGTGCTAAAGTTACTCTTTTCAACTCAAATGATTTCAATTGATAGGTCTTTGTAGTAATACTCTGTCAATTTTCGGGTTATGTCCATCTCTGTATATCATCTAAAAGGATTGGGAGTTTAGACGGTTGGTTAGTACAGAAAACTTTTACAGTATATGGAGTAAATCTGAAATAATGTTTTAATGAAACCGTTTTTGTCCGTCTTATGTGTAATGATAGGTTTGCTTTCATCTATTCCAGGTTGTCTTTGGAAACTAAACTATAGTTTGGGTCAAGGAGTTGCCTTTTAGCTTTAGGATAAAATAACTTTGATAGGCTTCGATTACATTTCAGGTTACCGGTGTGTATGACTGACAAGTAGATCGACGTAGAACCTAGAAAAAATGTTAGCCGAAGTTACCATAACACGTAATAGTGAGATAAAATTAACATGATTAATAGTGAAACATTCGAAATAATAGTCGTATCAATGATAATGTGGAAAGATTAAACGTTGAAAGACTTATTTCGAGAAGGGTTGAATTTGACGAATAAAAAGTTTAAAATAATGTTAAAGCTTACATTTAAGGGAGAACACAGGGCGGATGCATTTGTGCCACTTTGACCCAAAGTCGCCAACCATTGGTTTTGGTTATCTAGCGGACCTCGACCAGAACATGTGGGTCTGTCAACTCAGCTTAGTTTAATAGTCAGTGGTTTCGCAAATTTGATGACATGTCTTTGGTGTGTCTATCCCTATTTCTCTACCAGACAATATCGCACTTCGAGGTAAGCTGTGATAAAACATACATAAAACATACCACAGTCGTTCAAGATTCACAACCCCATCTACACTTAGTATCCTATGCCTAGTCTTGCGATTGTTCACTTGGTCGTTCCACAATGCATGGAGAATTCTTTGAAAGCAACTATGGTCAAATATCCACAGCCTACATATGTTTTTTTACTCTCAAACCCATATAATAATGCCTGGTTAAACTGGTATGCTGTATATTCGCCATTCAATAAGCCTGCGTCACAAGTAGCTCAATCTGGCAAAAGCCAAGCAAGTTTTCGAAATCCATGTCGGAACTTCGTGCCCCTAAATCATAGAATAAACCGATCAATACTTGCTGGATCTCAGTGATCCTTCAACGGTTTTCATTCCGTGATCTAAACTATAATCGAATCACATAGTTGTTCTGTTGAATGGTTTTGATGAGTCTAGAAATCTAACAAAATTCTCTTTTGATACAAATGTACTAATCAAGCTTTTAGTAAATCACTGGGATTTACAAAATTGATTACATATTCTGTTATTTATAGCCTCGAAAACTGCTGAGCCCTTTCTAAAGCTTTTTGATATCCCCTGTATTTGATCGTATTGATGTTAATATGATACTAGTTTCAATTCTCGTATTTTATTTTCCAAGACACTTGCTTTTAATACGATAATCCACTTACAGAATACGCCCGACCGTTGTTGCTACCTTGACGTGGTGGTCGGGCTTACCTATCGTGATGAAGCAACCGAGCTATACTGACTGGAACAACTGTTCCTCAAGGTCCTACCACGTCAGGAAGGTCGGTTGAAGAGCGGTAAGACTAAAAGCAACAAACCCAAGGTCCGAAGGCGAAGTCGTACTGCTGACTGTACAGAGGTGTGACAGCAGTAAGGTGTTTCCTTCAGAAAACCAGCATGACAGCGATGCTGCCTTCCCACAAGGATGGGTGGGGTTAGAAAAGGTCAACCCTAAAAATGCACACCTCGCCTTATCCCACGGATATCCGTCTCCGGCGGTAAGGTCTCAACAAGTACGGAGCTAACACAAAAATTGCCCATAAAAAGGTCGTGTGTGACCGACCTCAAGCAGTTGTCCCTTGGGCACTGCGGTCACGCTCTGAGGTCACTAAGACCACTTCTAATCCGATTTCCTTTTCAGGTACCTCCAGAAAAACCCTTCCACGGTGTGGGCAACCGGGAAGTGATAACCGCCCTCATACCTCTAACAGCACTCAAGACCACTGGATTCATAATCAACCTCCCTCTTCAATTCCTATTATTCCTCCTACATCGACTTTCACCTCTAAATCTCCTCTTTCGGCTTCCTGCTCAAGTGTCACCATAGCCGACGATTCTAGTGCTCAAAACACTGTCCCAGGTCTACTGAAACCCCGCTCCAAACTACACATTGGAGCCTTCAATGTACGAACTCTATGTCAAATCGGTCAACAGGCTTCCTTGGCTAGAACCCTAGAATCTCGTACCATTGATGTGTGCTGTGTCTCCGAAACACGCATACAGGATACCAGTGTGGTCATTCACTTGACCTCACCTCGGCAAAACGGAGAGCCAACGAGATACACCCTCCGTGTATCTGGTGACCCGATGGCCAGTTCTCGTGGACTGGCAAGAGTAGGGATAGCACTACGCATGAGGGCTGAACAAGCACTGTTAGAGTGGATCCCCGTCAACAGTCGTCTATGTGCTGTCCGGCTAAACGGCTCCGTAAGAACTCGGAAGGATAGGGACACACGTCGTTGCCTTTTTGTCGTTTCTGCCTACGCTCCCACCGACTGCAGCTCAGATGAAATGAAAGATGAATTTTACAGAAAGCTATCTGAACTTCTTCAGAAAGCTAAACGTTCAGACATAGTACTCGTAGCAGGTGACTTTAATGCCCAGATAGGTAGTCTAAACCAAACAGAAAGGCATTTAGGTGGATATTTTAGTATTCCGACACAGCGAACAGATAATGGTGATCGTCTGTTGCAACTATGCTCAGACAATCGTTTATTTTTAGCAAACACAAATTTTAAGCATAAGGAGAGACATCGTCTAACATGGCGACCCCCTACACCAAACCAACGATGGACTCAAATAGACCATATTGCCATCAGTCATCGTTGGAGAGGGTCGGTACGAGATTGTCGCTCATTCTGGAGTACCTGCTTGGACTCCAACCACGCCCCAATACGGGCACGCATCTGCTTGCGCTTCACTTGACGTAAAAAAGCCACATTCAAAAGACCCGTTAGAACTAAGTTGAGTGACGAGAAAACCAAAAGTAGGTTCCAGGAACAACTGAGGTCACAATTAGGTAGTTTTGAAAACGAGGCTGACCCAGAGGTTGCTTGGAAAGGCATACAATCAGTTGTGGAAACAGCAGTGACATCTATTAGTGACTTAACCCACAGAGTTACAAAGAACCAGTGGATTTCTTCAAGGTCTATCACACTGATGGATTCTCGAAAACTCGTCCCATCAGGTTCTGAACATGATAAAGAGCGTAAAGAAATCAGATCTAGGTTTAAAAAAGTCTAAGGAACGACCGTGAGCAGTGGTGGGTAACGAAAGCAAAAGAGATGGAAAAGGCGGCGACTATAGGGAACACAAGACAACTCTACAGACTAATAAAAGAAACTGGAATTAATAAGTCAAGTGTAAGTGAGATTATTTCGGAAAAAGACGATACTCTCATCTATTCCCAGTCCAGACGTTTAGAACGATGGGCGGAATACTTTAGGGGACAGTTCAACTGGCCTTCAGCTACTCTACAACTACCGTCCATTTCCAGACAGTGTGAATGGGACATTGAAGTAGGTCCCTCAACTCTAGCAGAATTCAAAAGGCTATAGTTAATCTGAAACGAGGAAGGGCAGCTGGTCCAGATGAATTGGCTCCAGAAGTCTTTAAGGATGGTGGTCCAATTTTAGCGGTTAGGTTGACTAATATTTTAGCTGAGATCTGGGAATTAGACGTTATCCCATCTGACTGGTCGAAATCACTTATCGTCCCAATATATAAGAAAGGATCAAAATCATCTTGTGACAACCACAGAGGGATTAGTTTAACAAATATAGTATCTAAAATACTAGCCTCAATAATAATCAGACGCCTAACTAAGACTCGTGAACTGCAAACACGAGAAAACCAAGCTGGCTTCAGACCTGGTCGTGGCTGCATCGACCACATATTCACCATTCGTCAGGTTCTAGAACATAGGCATACTTATCGGCGTCCGACAATGGTGGTCTTTCTTGACTTAAAAGCAGCATTTGACTCGGTAGACCGCGAGATTCTGTGGCAGTGTCTGTTATTGAAAGGCGTACCTCAGAAGTACATAAACCTTGTGAAGGCTCTTTACTCGAACAGTACTAGTCGAGTCAGCGCTTATGGCGAACTGTCATCTACTTTTACAACCTCAAGTGGTATCCGTCAAGGCTGTCCACTTTCTCCAATTCTGTTTAACTTCATCATAGACCTACTGATAGAAATAACATTCTCGTCTACTGAATTCTCGCGTATTGATCTCCTACCAGGAGGTCCACTTATCGAATTAGAATACGCAGATGACATAGTCCTGTTTGGTGAAGACGCTGACAAAATGCAGAGTCTTTTGGTAGCACTAAGCAACAATGCCAGAATGTTTGGAATGCGCTTCTCTCCCTCTAAATGCAAGTTGTTGCTTCAGGACTGGTCTGCATCAACACCTGAATTAAGGATAGGGAGTGAGGTAGTCGAACGCGTTGACAACTTCACTTATCTTGGAAGTCTGGTCAGCCCTAATGGGTTGGTGTCTGATGAAATGTCAGCACGGATTCGAAAAGCTCGTTTGGCTTTTTCCAACTTACGTCACCTTTGGCGAAGGCGAGATATCCGTCTATCAATAAAAGGACGAGTATACTGCGCGGCAGTCCGTTCTGTTTTACTTTATGGCAGCGAAGCATGGCCTTTAAGAGTAGAAGACACTTGTAAGCTACAAGTATTTGACCACAGATGCCTTAGAAATATTGTTGGCATCTGTTGGGATCACCGGGCAAGTAATAGTAAGGTTAAACGCAGAGTATTAGGGAATGATGGTAAATCAGTTGGTGAGGTTGTTAATCTTCATCGACTGAGATGGTTGGGCCACGTGTTACGTATGCCTGAACACCGATTACCACGACGTGCAATGCTAAACGGTGTTGGAGATGGTTGGAAGAGAATTAGGGGCGGCCAAACCAAAACGTGGCATCAGTGCTTGAAGACACTAACCTCTAGTCTGAGCCATGTTGGTAGATGCAGACTACTTGGTTGAGGTCCGCGTGACTTTCGTAACCGATGGTTGGAGACTCTGAATGACATGGCTCAGAATCGATCACAATGGCGTCGGTGCATACATTCGGTGTCTTCCCTTAAACTAAGAGATCGAAATCGCTTCATATCTTTCTTTCTACGAACTAATTCTATATTCTGGTACTCTATCCTTATATGCAATCTTTCTCTTATATATTACCACCTTTAACCTAACCACTCCCATGAATCCGGTGTTCATCTTGCTGTGCTAACGAGGTATGGCAACCTGGACCGATGCATATATGTGCCTGGTCCTACGTTGTAGCTGACTGATTGACTTACAGAATACAATGGTCAATTTGCATCTTACGATTATCATTATTTGTACTTAGTCTAACTTTTTAAATTTAATAATAATATCTAGTTTACTTAATTTGCTTTTTCATTAACATTTCAGGGGGCATCTGAACGCGATATTGTTCACTCTGGTCTGGAGTATACTATGGAGCGATCTGCTAAGGTAAATTTACACCCACTTATTTTTATAGTGTGATTCAGTGTGATAATTACATTTAGAACAATTATTTCATGTTTTAGATGTCATCAGAATAGAAGTACCATCCAATATATTACTGATTGGTATCCGGTTAATTTATAGTTCTACGTATATCCTCCTTATTCTTTAAATTCCGAAAGGTTTAGTTAAAGCAGATGATCAAGAGTACTTAAACCTTAGTTTTTTCTGTTATGGCTTCTGCCCCTGTCAATTATCACGTGACAAAACCGTTAATCAGAATACCGCATTATATGACCTCATTCCTGTGCTAATCTAGTAGCCTTATGTCAACTCTGAATCCTTAGTGGTCCTCAAAATAGTTATTTATCGCATAGCCCTGCCCTTTGAGTCTAGAACATAATCTCAACCTCCACTGTATGGATAATATATTTCAGACATACGTCGTTTATATACAGGCAAACCAGACCACACCATAAAATAGAAAATAACAGTTATACAAGATTAAACCAAAAGTGGCTATGAGTGTGAGAGATTAACTAATCGATTGGTAATAATTTGAGAATACTAAATCGTATAATAGTAGTCAATAGGTCAGATGAAAGCTTATGATAAAAGGAACATGAATTTACAAAAAAACTATTTACATAATAGTTATCCAATAAGAATATATGTGATAATGGTCCATAAATAATTCCTAGCAGTTACCACTCATTTATTCTTCGTTCGGATTTAACAGTTTCAGCCTTTGTTAGGGGTCAAGAGTCACAAGCATAACTGCAGCAGCAATTTATATTGTTAAAAGAAGTCACTCATTTCTCTGATTAGGCTATTTCGGTTATTTTCATTGTACAGAGGCAAAATAAATAGACTTTGGAGATAAAAAGATGTATTTGAAAATATGACTTTTATTACATTTTACGCTAAATAGACTGATATTTCACGTTGGATTATGCTTGATTAAGCACTGTTGAATCACATTTAGATGTCATTTTGATATCGTCTGACATGTGGGTCTTGAACATTTATTTCATTGGTTATCGGCTATAACTCTAGTATGTTTGCTTTTGGAGTTGCGCCCACACACTAGATCTCAAACATTCCTCCTTTGTCTGTCTGATATTCAACTAAACCAATATGCTATCGTAGTTGTATAAACGCGAATATGAACACATACCAAAACAAAAATTGATTTTTATCAACCAACCACTCCTAGTTAATTAGATTTATTGTTTCAAAAACGAAAGCAAAATACTAAAATTGAAATATCTAATTGATCATTGTTTGATCTAACATCATGTACATTGTAGTTCTACCAGAGCAGTATGAAGACGTAGTTAATGTCAAAAATGTGATGTATTTGCATTATACGTTACGAACAATATGGTCACATATAATTGGCAAAGCAGTTATAAAAATTAGTGAAATTCAGTTGGATAAAATGTTAACTTTCATTTCAGTCAGTCAGTATAACATAGAACTTCGTACGTACGTAAATCAGTTCGAGTTGCCACACCACATTAGCACAGAGATGCAGTGGTCAATTAAAATCCCGTAGTGGTAGAGGTAATAAGAGTATAAGCAGTAATCGGGAAGATTAGGGTTTGGAGATGTTATTTAAAGAGTATAATCCAGTGAAATAAATTTGAAAAGAGAAAAAATGAAAGGGACATGAAGAATTCAGAAGATTAGAATTTGGGAGAACACAAAGAGTGGATGCACCTGTGCCATTGCAAATGATTTTGAGCCATGGCATTCAGGGTCTCTAACCATCGGTTGCTATCATCTCGCGGTCCCCAACCAGGTAGTCTACACCTACCGACATGACTCAGACCACTTGTCAGTGACTTCATGGACTTGTGCCATGTTTTGGTCTGGCCACCCCTAGCTTTCTTCCAACCTACTCCTATACAACTGAACATCGCACATCCAGGCAGTCGGTGGTTGGACATACGTAACACGTGTCCCAGCCATTTCAACTGATGAGGTTTCACTACTTCATCAATTGATTTGCCATCCTTACCTAGTACCCGTTTCCTAACAACTGTGTTACTTACTCGATGGTCCCAGGATATACGAGCAATGTTTCGAAGACACCTATGATCAAATACTAGTAACCTACGGATATCGTCTACTCTTACCGGCCATGTTTCACTGCCATAAAGTAGGATCGAACGAACTGCTGCGCAGTAAACACGTCCTTTGTTTGATAGATGGATATCTCGCCTACGCCATAAATAACGCAAGTTGGCAAAAGCTAGTCGAGCCTTCTGTATCCGTGCTGAGATTTCGTCACACACCAGACCACAAGGGCTGATGAGACTTCCAAGATAAGTGAAGTGATCGACGCGCTCAATTACTTCACTCCCTATCACTAGTTCGGGTGTCAATGTAACCCAATCCTGATGCAACATTTTGCATTTCGAGGGAGAGAATCGCATGCCGAACATGCTTTCATTGTTGCTTAGAGTGGTCAGAAGACTCTACATGTTGTCAGCATCTTCACCAAATAAAACTATGTCATCAGCATATTCTAAGTCAACAAGTGAACCTCCCGGTTGAAGTTCAACCCCTGGAAATCTAGACGAGGAAATTGTTATCCCTAAAACTACGTCAACGACAAAGTTGAACAAGATTGGTGAGAGTGGACAGCCCTGACGAACACCACTTTGAGGTAATCAATTCTGATGACAGTTCGCTATAAACTCTCACTCTACCAGTTGTGTTCGAGTAGAGAGCCTTTATAAGGTTAATGTACTTTTTTAGTACTCCTTTCAGTGACAAACACTGCCACAAAACCTTACGATCAACAGAGTCGAATGTCGCATTAAGGTCGAGAAATACAACGATTGTGGGGCGTCTGAATGTGTGTCTATGTTCTAGAACCTAACGTATTATGAATATCTGGTCTGTACAACCACGTCCAGGTCGAAAACCAGCCTGGTTTTTTCTAGTCTGCTCTTCACGAGCTTTAGTTAGGCGTTGAAGTATTATTGAAGCGAATATTGTAGACACTATATTAGTCAAGGTGATTACTCTGTGATTGTCACAAGAGGACTTTTGTCCTTTCTTACAGACTGGTACAATCAGTGATTGAGACCAGTCAGATGGGATTACGTCCAGTTCCCAAATTCTACCTGAGACCTCAGTTAATCTCACTGCTAATACTGGACCACCATCCGTAAAAATCTCAGGAGTAAATCTGTCAGGGCCTGCTGCTCTCCTTCGCTTCAGATTTCCTATCGGTTTTCCAACTTCATAAAGAGTTGGAGGACTTACATTAACTTGCCATTCAGGTTGACTGGAGATCAATTAAATTTCTTTGTTTACCATTTCAAAACGCCTCGATAAGTGTACTTATTACTATATTTTTCGAAATGTATAGAGTGAATGCACCTTATTTGTCAGATCAACATTTCTTTTCACTGGTCTGTTAAGTTTGATGAAAGGGACTAATTGTTTCATATCATGTTAAACCTGCACTAAATCTGTCAACTTAATTCCGTTTTCTTAGTACGACACGTATGTTGTCAGTAAATCAGCCTGAATAACATTTATTAGGTATATTTTAGTCATTACATCAGATGTAAAGTTCACTACCACTCTGTTATCACTTCAAGAGGTAATTATCAATCTCTCTCGCTCTTTATATAGAGTCCATTTTGTTATATCCTAGTGAAGATTACATTTCGAGTAACGTCTGAGACCTATTAATGGACTAATATTATTAATATATTCTTATGGTATAAATATTCAGTAACTAGATTATGTATATCTATATTCCCCTTGTTATAAGCTTTATTTCGACCTATATATTATTATTGTACGATTTACAGTTCTTAAGCTATGCTCAGTTTATTGACTACTGCCTCTCACATTCACAGCCACTTTTTGGCTTTATTGTATTTGAATGTTATTTCCTATTTTGTTCTGCATTGCGGTTTGTTTGTTTGGTATATAAACCCAGTATGTTTGAAATAAATGATTCGCATAGTGAAGGCTGTTATTGGCATTCTGGACTCAGCTGGACGGGCTAGGCGAGCAACGGACCAATAGGACGCTAGGCTGATCAGACCGGCCGAACGTCATTGGCGTAGTAGAGGACAAGAGCGAATAAGTCGCATTTCGATTGGCGAATAGATTACGTGATAACAAGCGGTTCATAAAGTCACAACACATTGGTCTAATGGAAACTAGTTATTTGGGCGAAAATAAAATAAAATCGTTATTTCATTTTATGAAATTAATCCTATTCCTTAGGTACCCTTACAATCGTTATTTCTCCGGTTTCATAATCAACTAATTCTAAAGAATGTTTTATAGATATTATTTCTTGTTGTTAATATACTTTACTCGTTTGTTAGTAATTTTAATTTATTTTTATCATGTTACAGCGCATCATGAATATTGCGAATGCCTACAACCTTGGATTAGATGTTCGTACAGCTGCATATATCAGTGCAATTGAGAAAATATACAATGTCTACCTGGAATCTGGCTTTGTCTTCACTTAATTGTATCGTGCAACTTCATGTTTTTATGGTCGAAATTACAATTACAGCATAACAAAAAGGAATACACATCATTTGTATCAATAAAAGATATTCAACTGGCAGTTCTTTTATGTAATCAAAATAAAATATCTTTTATAGGCATTGGAAGTAATTTAGTTTTGTTTGTTTACTAAGATATGAGAATGCGTTGAATTTTTTCTAACTTTCCAACGTAGTCACGACTTCAATAATCCGTATATATATAAAGCATAGCGAGCATCAGCGAAGTCACACTTGAAGGAGCAGCTCTGGAAGAGGTGTAAACTTTCACGTACCTGAGAAGCATCATCGATGGATAAGGAGGATCTGATGCAGAGGTAAAGGCAATGATTGACAAAGCAACGGATGCATTCCTACAGTTGAAGAATATATGGAACTCAAAAGAACTCGGTCAGTATCAAAGTCAGAATCTTCAATACGAACATCAAGACAGTCCTACTGTACGGACCTGAAACTCGCAGAATTACTACAACCAGCATCAAAAGGTACAAGTAATTATAAATAATTATCTAGTCAAGATACTGAATGTTCGTTGTCTGGATCCCATGAGCAACAGTTTATTGTGGGAGAGAACAAACAAGCTTCCAGTTAAAGAGGAACATACATTACAGAAATCACCAAGCTGTATCTTGAGGCAAGTGCTAACTTGGAATCGTGCATGGTAACGGAAAGGTAGAAGAACAAAGAGCATAGTGCACTGAGAATCGGAAGCAGATATGAAAAGGATGAATAACAACTGGAAAGGATCGCTCAGGACAGAGTTGTATGAGTAATGCTGTTGAGCAGCAGTGGCCTATGCTCCTCCATGAGGGGTAACTGGCGCAAGTAGGTAAGTACATTTGATTGTCTCATAATGTGCGGATGATATTGTCATATGGTAGGTGGCATCTTGTGCACATTCGATCCAGACTGACATCAGCACACGGAAGCTAAACGTGAATTCTAATATTGGTTAAAATTAGGAAACACGGCTTTGAATTGATTAAAGTTATTACTCTGAATATCCACAGTAGCCTTTATTAGCCAACTCGGTTATCAAAGTTTAGAGATATTTATAGTCCATTCTTTATTTAAATTATAGGCACCGAGGTTTTACTTACGCCTGTGTCCTCGTTCATAACACTATGACTTGAGATAGGGCATTGTTAATGCTTATGCCATTCAATGGAGATGCAAATGGACACCTTTCAATGCATTAAATGTAAGTTTAAAGATGACATCAAACTATGTATCTGAAGGTAAGTCACGATCAGCTACATGTTACAAAATGAATGGTTTTACGTTTATTCCTTCTGTTCTACCGAATGAAACTGGGACGTGTTCTAAAAAATGCCTGTTAGTCTTTACATACGGACAATATGTGTGGCTATTTTCGAGGTTAGAAGCTACTGTATACAAATCGAGTTTGAGCCATATCTGATAACGTCTCTAGTCACTGTGTAGCACCATCTCTCAAACCCCAAACAGGGAGTCGTGAAGGACCAACACAAGCCAGTCCTTTGCAGCTTTCTTTCATACCACGACACCATGTCATGCACTGACCACCTCTCCGCTTATTCCAACCAGTCCCAGAGTCGGCAAATAATGCACGACGTGAAATTCTCTGGGACGACATTTGTAGAACATGTCCAAGCCACCGAAGTCGATGTTTCAAGATGGTGACACTAATTGAATTATCATCACTGTGCCCGAACACACGATGCCGAACCTCTGCATTACTAACATGGTGTTGCTACTGAATATCAGCAATCCTTCGGAGACAGCGATGATCGAACACAGAGAGTCGTTTAACGTCCTCAATTCGGAGAGACTAGGTTTCACAAGCATAGAGCAAAACTGCTCTCACCGACGCGTTGTAGATCCGACCTTTTACAGCCAGACTAACATCACGAAGGCGCCAAAGATGGCCCAGATTGGCATAAGCTGCTCTGGCTTTCACAATACGTGCATTGATCTCATCACTCACACCCCCACCAGCACTTATGCAGCTACCCAGATACACGAACTTCTCGACTACGTCTGTCTGCTCATCATCCAGGGTGAGTACAGGATTGGAATCCTGCCAGTTTTGTAGAAGTACTTTGTACTTTGAAGGTGCAAAGCACTGATTGCCAACTGATTAAGTGCGGATTGCATGACTTGGGCTTTATCGCACAGTAAGACAATATCGTCCGCATACTCAAGGTCGAGAAGTCTTTCTCCAGGCAACAGATCCACACCACCATTACTTACATTCATCAGAGCTGTTTCCAGAATGTCATCGATGGGAAAGTTGAAGAGGAATGGTGAGATTGGGCAACCCTGCCTAACCCCACTGCTCGAATGGAACAATGGAGTGAGGTGGTTGTATGCCCTCACTCTACCTGAGGTGTTTTTATATAGGGCTTTTAGGATGTTAATAAACTTATCAGGCACACTCTTCTTCAATGGACAATCGCAGAGAACAGTCCTACCCAACGAATCGAAGGCGGCCCTGATGTCAAGAAACACTACGATTGTTGGCCTTTGAAAAGTATAGTGGTGTTCTAACATTTGGCAGAGGGTGAAGATATGATCAATACATCCTCGACCAGAACGAAACCCAGCCTGCTCCTCGCGAGTCAATCTTTCTCGGGTTTTGAACAACCTACGAAGTATGACGGAAGCCAATAGCTTGGACGCAATCGGAAGTAGACTTATCCCCCGATAGTTGTTGCAGGAACGACGTGAACCCTTTTTAAAGATAGGGACAACTATCGACACATTCCATGACGTTGGTACACTCTAGCTCCCAAACGTTTGTAAAAAACGTCGTCAGTTCCTTAGTCAAAAAGTCACCACCATCTTTAAAGAGAGCCGGAGGTAAGTCATCTGGGCCAGGTGATTTGTAACGCTTCAAGAGTTGGAGTTCCTTGCGGACTTCCTCTTCTTTGGTGGATCAGTCGTCACCGGCCATGGAGGGCAGGACAGTCTGACCGATGTTGCCGGAGCAGCAGGTCAGTTGAACTGCCCTTCGAAAAATTCTGCCTATCGTCCAAGACGTCGATGGATGTTAGTGATTGGCATTCCATCATCCTCGTAGATTGTTTCACTCACACCAGACTTCTTGCTGCCAGTGGCTTGGATGAGCTGGAAGAGCTTCCGGTAGTTACCAGATGCAGCTGCTGCTTCCAGCTCATTAGCACGCTTCGACCACCAGGCTTCTCGGTCCTTACGCAAGCTTTGCCCAATTTCCCTACGTAACATCCTTCGTTTATGGTCAAACTCACGGTCACCCGGAGTGGACCGACGGGCTTCAATGAGTTGTAAGGAACCAGAAGAAACCCAGTGCTTAAAAGCGGGACGTTTCGCAAACCCACAACTGACTGTTCCCGCCATTTTCATGGCGTCAAGCAATTGCAACCAATGCTCATCTATACTTTTCGGTGGAATGGTAGCTAGCCTAGAGGCTAGCTCGGTTCGATACTTACTAGCAACAGAAGTTGCAACCAGCTTGCCAATATCAATCCGTTGATGGCGGTCACTTCGTTGTACACTGAAAAGTAAGGCATGATTGGCACAGACCAAGGCATGGTCAGAGTCCAGATAGGTACTCCAAAAGGAGCGGCAGTCTTTTACACAACCACGCCAGCGGAAGCTGATCGCGATGTGATCAATCTGAGTCCAGGCTTGAGATGCAGTGGGAGGACGCCAGGTGGCACATCGGCGATGACTGTGTCGAAAGTTAGTGCTAGCCAGAAACAGGTTGTGGTCTGTGAAAAGTTGCAGTAGACGGTCCCCGTTATCTGACCTGCGACCAACGAGTCCCCATCGGCCACCTAAATGACTCTCTTCTGTGCCTAGACGCCCGACCTGAGCATTCAAGTCTCCGGCTAGTACTACAATATCTGTCGAGCGCACTTTCTGGAGAAGAACAGATAACTGGTGGTAAAACTCATCCTTGATTGCATCCGGGCTGCAATCTGTTGGGGCATAGGCGGAGATGACGAAAAGACATCGTGTCTCACGCCGATTTCTTCTCACTTTGATGGATACAGTCGAATTTCCACCAAAGACGAGCCGCTGTATAAGTATAAAAGAGGGTAATAATGTGGAAAATAATTATAATAATGACAATAATAGTAATAATAATAATAGTATTAATAATGACAATAATTGTAATGATAATAATTTGAATCAATTTATTGTTTTTCGAAGCGAGAAAAGTAATTTCCATAGACATAAAGAGTTCATCACTTGTGTGTGGGCTGTGATACTGTCCGGGTGCCCAGACCGAAGCAGGTGGTTATCTTAGGGGGCCACACCCCGAGCCTTTAACCTAATGGTCTAACCCACAAGGCAGTGGAGCTTCGTAAGGAAATGCAATCCCGTGGTAGCCGGTGACCACCGATTGGTTCATACGCCATTTGTTCCCGCAGGATACTGGAGCCCATGTGCACCATTGGTTTGTGATCCGGTTAAAGCGCCGGACATTCGCTTTTCGTCCTCTCATTTTCGTAAACAACACCTCCGCCACGAGAAGGCAATGAGTAGGACTTCCCTGGCAGAGGCTGTATACGCGCGGCCGTGTGAGAGTATTTCGAGAGGGAGAGCGGACTCTCCCCACTTTCGGCCGTACCAGGGCATTTGGGGGCTTTCTGTAAGCTGCTTTTATCTCGTTCAAACAAATACTTCGTTTAAGACGCTTAAAATGTTTGCTTCATTGATCGATCTTCTGAAGAGTTTTTAAGGACCTATTTTGAAATGTCATGCTTGTATCTAACATTGGTACGTTTTCCGAGTCAGTTTGATAACATTTAAGACATTTTCAATTGGCTTGCGGGAAAAGTAGGTGTATAAGTCAATTTCTAAAACCACAATTACTCGTCTATACAGTCCTCTGTGAGTACTTTTCAAAATCTCTACGGAAAAGAAAGGAACTAAATTCAACCCTTGTCTAAAGGGTGAAAACTAGAAGTTCATCATCTGGTCGACTGGAGTTAGATTATGCGGATAAATCTCTTTACGAAGAAACCATTGGGAAATGAAATCTTAGAGTTTGATCCAGTTTTCATGATAGATCGAATACATTTTTGTTATAGTCCATAGCTGCCGACCAGAAGCAGCGAATTATCGATCGGACCAGGGACGCGTAATACACGTGCGAGCAGCCTAGAGTCCTGATTGGTCCTGCTTTCCGCCTAGCCCAGCCAGTTAAGTCCAGAACACTAGTCTCAGCCTCTGCAATATGAATCCTTATATTTCAAACATACTGAGATTATATACCAATCAAACCGACCACAACGTAGCATAAAATAGAAAATAACATTTGTACAAAATTTGGCCAAATGTGGCTGTGAATGTGGGAGGTAGTGACTAATAGACAGGGCATAATTCAAGAATGGTAAAACGTATAATAATGGTTCATAGGTCGAAATAAAGTTTATAATATGAATAGCTTAGTTATTTAACAATTATACGATAAAAATATACGTTTAGTATTGGTCCATAAAAGGATCCCAAAGTTACCATTCAATATGTTTCTCGGGACCTAACAATTTCTGACCTTCATTGAATCCCCAAAAATTATACCATCAGTAAAAACATAATACTGTTACTTTTCCTTTGAAGAAGAATATTATTTTCTTCGTTAACTTGATCCTGAACAATTGTCCATGTCAAGAAGAATGTAAAATTTTAGTAACATATTCGAAACGAAAATGATACTTTGTTGGTAAGCTTCATAATCATCATTGATCGACAATTTTTCCTGATCAGTAAGCTATAGTCATACCATCTCAGCTAACTACTTTAAAAATAAATAACCATCATATCAACAAGAGTAAATTTTAGTTACTTCATCATTTAATAAGAAAGATTAGTTCAGCGAAGAGTTCTCATTTCGGCGAATCATTTTCAAAGCTGTACATTCGCAAATATATTTACTTATTTTAACTGGTTGATAATTATACTGATAAGAAACTTGTTGTACATGGTGACAGTGAGATTAAATAAACAAAGGTATTAAAAAAAAGATAAAACAGGGAAAGTTTAATATTCCTTCGTCTGTTATTGGTTAAGTATTTATCAAAAGATAGATAGGGAAATTACCATTAGGAAAGGATGGCTCAGCATGACAAAATAAAATGTTGAAACGTAGATGAAATGCAATCGGAATGATTGTGGGAATAAAAACAAACCAGTTGGGCGTAGAAGATTTAAAGGGAAAATGGAAGGTGAAGCAGATGGCTGTTAAGGAACAAGAGTATGAAAAGGAGAGGAAAATTTTAATACATTAAGACCATGGTAGAAGAAGAGGTTGCACCAGTTACTTTTGCACACACAATTCTGGTTTTTCCAGATGTACGGCAATGCAGTTTAATTGTGTTAGGAAGACTTCTACTTACTTTTTAGATGACTTTGAACGCAGAGTCTCTCTTGATTGAATGACCTGTGTTCACAAGGTGTTCGATTATAGAACTTCTTATTGAGCCGTTGCCTCCTCTTTTTAGCCACGCCGGACGATGTTCTTGAATTATTTTGGATAAAGTACGCATCGAAATACCTATATACCTAGCTCCACAAGAGCTGGTAAATGCATATTTAGTTGGTCAGATACGATAATTTATCTTTCAGTTTATTGGTGAACAATGATCGGCTGGAGAATAATATTCGCAATCTTGCTGGGAAGAATGATCTTTTTGAGGAATCAGAAATTCTCCTCTTCATCATTTATTCTATAGTTTAACATCAATTTACTGACCTTTTTGGTCTGGACCCATAAATGAACAATCGTTCGATTATTTCAGGATCTGTTGACGACCAGGGTATCACAAAAAATATATTTATTACTCACTAATCGTTTCTCGTTTTTTATAAAGTCTGGTAATTAAGTATCTTGTCAACTATTATTGGTTATTTTTATGATTGACATTTAGGGTAACTTCATTTCTGATGTCGACTAATACTTTCGTTTCCTCCATTATTTCTTTTGGAGTGTAAACCTTCATTACCAAACACATATATATAATTTTCACAGGATTAACTTGAAGACTTCACTATAATTTATGAACACTTAGTTATTACCGCAGTAATAATATAACTCAAACCATCAGATATACCGATTGAATAATGAGTGATGTAGTCATTATAATATTTTCCAAGGTAAAATCAAATAAATAATAGTATTAATTTATGGTTTTCTGGTATTCCATTTTTCAAACTATATGATTAGAATTACCTTAATTGATCATATTTTTACTGTTCACTAGAAATTCGTTTGTTAGCAGCAAATGAGTGGCGTGACAATCAGCTGAATCAATATTTAAAAGAGGTAGAAGCTGGACTATATGTACCTTACGTATTTTAAACAAATATTTTGTAAACAAGAGACTTTTGTCCTCTTATGCACTATTACGAACATTGCAACCGCCGTAAGTAAAAGGCTTGTTTGAACAAGAAAACTAATTTTTCATACATCTGACTGTTTGCTTGATGGAACTGACCGTTTGTAAGTTTATGTTTGCTATCTATTCATAGTGTCCATACTATCTATGAGTTTATACATTCAAACATAATTTACTTGTTCAACAAAAAATGACACATACTATTACACCGTCGTGTAAACAAAGTTTATTACTTTTAATATGTAGCTAAAGTGAATAAATATATATATTTCCGAAACTATCTTCTGAAAAAAAATAGGTTAAAGAAATGAGTCACTGTAATCCAATGTGTAAAATAGAGTACTACAAACTTACGCAGCAACAAATAAATAAGCATACAGTTTACGTTGACTGTTGGAATAGTTAAATGTGGAGTAGAGCAAATAATTACTAAAACATTATTATGGATCAGCTTAGTTTAAGACTATGGTTTAAGTACGCTAATTACTTAATAACGACTAGTCAGTTCGGTATTATTCCCTGTTCCATTGATAATTCTTCTGTCAGTTTTGTCATTTTTTATCGTATAATAATAATTTATGTATTCTGAAAATAATTACAGAATTCACGTCAGTTTATAGGCATGATCAATTTGATATAAATAGTAGCATTAGATGTACAGAACAAACATGTGACAGAAGAAAGTTTTAAGTATACTAGTTCAATAATTGTTTAGGTAGTACATGTATTACAGCGATCTATCAGCCGGGAATTTTTAATATTTCTTAAATGCACAGCATGCCGACATATGAACGGAGTAATTAAGGTCACTTTGTGTACCAGGTCGAATTTATAATAATTATCTACAATTAGAGAAATTAAAACGAACACAGAGAGCACGGAACAACAAAGCAGTAATTACCAAAATATATCAATCAGGTCTGCTAAAATGCGTGTGTAATGTGACACAGTAATATACTATTAATGTTATTCAAATTAGTTAAAGTTGCTGGGGACGGTGTTAACATAAAGTGACAGCAAGTAGGTGGTTTTACTTTGGGGAATGCACTAATAAAGATGGCTAAACATTTAAAGTTCCTATAATATCACTTGTGGAATGAGATACAATTACAGGTGCTAGAACACTCAATGCATTTTCAGAGAAGCAGTATGTAGCGAACAAATAATGAGAGTGATTTCATCGTATGGATAGATTATGGTAGGTTATTGAAGAGTCTAGAAAATTTACAGGCAAAGTGATTCATATAAAGAGATGATTTAGACTAACTTTGTTTCACTAGTGCCAAGGAATTACGGATGTCATAATGAGAAATTTCTGCATATGGAATCACGTGATTGGATGCAAAGGATAGCTTATTAAGTAGTTTGAAGAAAAAGAAAAGATTTAGTTTGAGTCTTCTCTTCCATGAAGGGTCTAGCCCAAGTTTATTACATCTAGAATTATAAGTTAAGGTACAATCAGCTCCAAGAATCGTCTCTGTACTGATTCCAGCCTTAATTTATCTTTATGCGCGCACTGCTAAGAATAAACGTGCAATATTCTAGAAGTGGTCAGACACAAACTCTGTACATTAAAATACGTGACTCATTGTCATAAAGGTTTCTAGTCATGTGACCTACAAGACGTTGAGACTTAGAGGTTTGTTTCAATATCTGTTCTGTAAACGACAAGTCTTTGGAGTATCTAAGTCCTAAGTCTACTACTGTATGTAACCTAAATAACACTTCTCCATCTATGGTAAGGTCTAGGTTGAGTGATGTATCACCGAAGCATATCCATCCACATTTAGCCGTATTAAGCTCCAGTTGCCATTTTAAGCACCACTGTGCTACCTTGTTATGTGTTATGTCTTGTGAACCTCATCGATTAGTTTGCCTAAGTTTACGGGCCCTCAGTATGAAAGCCTTGATAGGTTAAACTTTCACACTTTTCATTGGTTAAGATCATGAGTCAATTGAAGCGAGTTCACCATGGAAGCACTGGACGGCCGTCTCGTCCTAGTATGGGACTCATCTGCTCACTAGTGACTGACTTCAAGAGACACTCCTGGAGTTCTAGTAAGAAGCTGTGACCAGTGGAGTCCAACCAGGTCTGTTGTGAGATATCAACTCACTGAAGATATTGGTGACGGTCGCGCAATTTCGTAGATTGGTTGAAGTTAGACATTAACACCGTTGGATGCCGTCTCAGTGGTCTAATGGTTAAGCGCTCGCGCGGGGACTGGTAGGTCCTGGGTTCGAGTCTCACGGGGGGGGTCGTAGGTGCGCACTGCTGAGGAGTTCCATATTAGGACGAAACCACCGTCCAGTTCTTCTAGGTTTTCCATGGTGGTCTAGCTTCAATGGATTCATGATTTCAACTATTGAAATTACTAAAATCTCCACAAAACCCTTTTTGATTTCGCACTTTTGTTGGTGATAGATAATTATGAAATTCAAGTTGTGTGCTTCTGTTTATTTGTAACTTACAATATCAATTTATACGAATATTGGTCAAGATTAGAACCAATAGTTTGACAGGAATTGGGCGCCGAGTATAGAGAAGATATTTTATGTGAAAATTATATTTTAAATAATCTCAGCGATTGAAATTTAGATAATTCCAAGGTTTCGTCCAGCTAACTTGTCTGGACTACGTCAGGGTGAAATATATATATATATATATATATATATATATATATAGCGTTAACAATCAAATCTCTACTGTGTTAATCCAATCATATTTGGATGTTGATTTTGTAAGTGGGATAACATGAGTCAGTTACATAGGAATCATGTGAAAATTTCACGATGTGGAAACAAATGACTGAAAACGAATTGTATGTATGTGTAAGATTAGGGTATTAATCAATGTTATTCAGTGTTAATATGTTTTATATGAATAAATAAATAAAAGTGCAAGTTCAAGATTGAAAAGATTGCTTCTGAATCATAGATGTGCGTGTCAAATGAGAATCATCAAATATATAATTGTATTGCTAAAATAACTCACATTTATTTCAGTTAAAATAACGATGGATGTGAAATAAACAGGTTGAATAACGAAAGGGTCGAATTCTCAACGAATATTTTCAAGGTAGTCGCTTGCTGAATACCATCTTTTCGGTTCAGGCTGTTCGCGTTCGTTCATATATACAGTGTAGACAATACTCCATTCCATTCAACTTGTTGATCTTCCTTATCTGTAACATTATCTCAAAGAACTACTACGATGTACACTCAACGTGAACCGCAATGAATTTTTGAATAGTTTTAATAATTGTCACCCGTCAATTCAATTCACCTTAGAATCAGAGGCAAAGAATGCCGGATGGTTTTTTACAGAGATCTATATATAAAAAACCTACCTGGAATGGACAGTACATGAATTTTCATAGTTGGATTCCATTGAGTAGAAAGAGGAACTTAAAACCCTCTTTATCCTCTAGGATCGAACTAATCTGTTCCACTGACACAATAGATGAGGAAGTATTTCAACTCTCATCAGAAATGGTTATCCACCTAGATTCGTCAATAGCAACTTAACACCTAGACTTCATCTTGAAAAAGCATCGACAGTACAGAAGAAAACGTTATTAATGAATATGGAAGTTAAAGGAGATACGGCTGCTGAAATCGTAACTTTCAAAATCGTTGAATAAAACGTTCTACGCAGCTAAGCTCCGAATCGTTTTCTCAAGCCGACCTACTATTCTTGGATGTGTTAAGGATAAAATTCCGTTATGGGCCACATCAATGTGTATCTATAAATTTACTTGCTCACGTGGGGCACGTTACATAGGCCGCACAAAGTGATCACTTTACAAACACCTCTCAGAATACTATCCGGCTTAGCTTTTAAAGGGTGAATGTAAAACAATTACTAGTTCTATATAGGAACATTTAATCAACTATGGACACATCGCTTCAAATGATTCCTCGTTTAAAAGAAACTACATAGTCAAGGGGATTTCGAATCAATATACTATGCACTGATGAGGCATTGGTAATCCACAAACTCAAGCCCGAACTTTGCATGCAGAAATGATTTATCCAACCTCTCATCCTTCCTTGGCCTTAATTCCCTTAATGGGTATGTTTCTGGATATTTTTTTGTTTCCTTATGCACTTTTATTTGATTGTTATTGAATTTTTAAAATTATTATTTTGCAATTTTAAACTCTAATCAGTTATTATTATTTCACAGGTTGAAATCATGAGTCAGTTGAAGCTAGACCACCATTGAAAACCTGGAAGCACTGGACGGCCGTTTCGTCCTGGTATGGGGCTCCTCAGCAGTGCGCATCCACGATCCCGCACCACGCGGGGCTCGAATCCAGGACCTACTGGCTTCGCGTGCGAGCACTTAACCACTAGACCACTGAGCCGACATCCAACGGTGTTAATGTCTAACTTCAACCAATCCACAAAACCCATTCTGATAATAATCAACTGTTCACTAGTGACTGACTTCAGGAAAAACTCCTGGAGTTCTAGTGAGAAGCCGTTACCAGTGGAGTTCAACCGGTCTGTTGTGAGATAACAACTCACTGAAGACAATGGTGTACGGTGGTGCAACTTCGTGGATTGGTTGAAGTTAGACATTAACACCGTTGGATGTCGGCTCAGTGGTCTAGTGGTTAAGTGCTCGCGCGCGAAGCCAGTAGGTCCTGGGATCGAGCCCCGCGTGGTGCGGGACCGTGGATGCGCACTGCTGAGGAGTCCCATACCAGGACGAAACGGCCGTCCAGTGCTTCCAGGTTTTCAATGGTGGTCTAGCTTCAACTGACTCATGATTTCAACCTGTGAAATTTCTAAGATCTCCACAAAACCCATTCTGATATTATTATTATCTTATACAAGTTTTCTTGATTATTATTCAGTTTATTATTATGACCTTTGTTGTTTTGTCGTTTTTTTCATATTTGTCAATTGGACTATTATCTGATCCATAAATTATTTTCATCCCTAGCCCTTGATTATTGCGTAATCTCATTTAATAATAAGAGTCTCGAATCCATTTTTGTGATGCAATCTTTTCTATTCTCCTATCGACATATATTTTTTCCATATAACTATATATACGAATGTATAACTTAAGTAAATGATTTCGTCGAAAAGGAAATTTTCTTCGCTTTCCGATATGTTGCTTATATTTTCAAAAAATTGTTCTAAGCTCGTTTAATGATAACAAAAAGTCATCTACATAAAGTAACCAGACCTTTGGTGGACATACGCTTCTGTCGATTGCACTGGTTTCTAGGGAATGCATGAATAAATTCGCTACAATCGGAGAAA